CTGATCAGTTGGTTCAGAGAGACATATGTTTAGGTGAGTTTTCCCATTGACTTTAAGAAAACAACTGGGTTCTTAGTATTTTATGTACACATGTGCACATTATCACACTTTGCTTTGTGGGGCTTTCTTTCTTGCCAAAACACTAATTTGGAAAGCAGAAATACAACTCCCGTATCTTTTTTTTCAACTTTTCTGTCATAAAATTTCAGTTAAATCCTTTTTCACCAATCACCACTTTCATGTTATTTGTTGGGGGGGGGGGGGGGAATAAAACAAAACACCTGCCAGCACACTAACAGAGTTTCTTCTGAGTTTTGAGATGTTTTCATAAATGTCAATGTCATTAGCAGCACAGCTGATAAATTTTCACTGCAGCTGTAGTGTATACAATTTATATCCCTGATTGCATTATGATTTAAACAATTGTCTTGTCACCTTTAAAGTTTGTTTTATCATCACAATAATGAAAGACCAAATGTTAGCTGAATAGTTGCATTTATTTATTTTTTTTGTAAAATTGTAGCAATTTTTAATTTAAATTTGGGAAGCAACAAAAACTCTGACTATATGCATTAAAGGAACAGAATTACTGTAAATTATGAATACTATATAACTTCAGTAGAATGGATTATATCTTTTAATAGTGAATCAACTTTGATGTGTGCTACTTTTTAATCAATCACTGAAGGTTTGGATTGATCAGGTAGGTCACCATTGCAGCCTATTTGACTTGCCAGTAATATTTGCTCAGAGAAGTTCAGTTTTATTTAGTACACCAAAACAAATATAACTCCACAATGTATAAGATGTTTTACTCAATGGCCGTAAATAACATATGAAACAATAACTTCTCCCTTTCTGGGCCTTACTTCACAAAGCCTACATCCTCTGGTCCCTGGCCATAACCAACATCTTTAGCATATTGGTAGTGCAAGTAGGTCTGTGTCCTTTTCTATGTTAAAGTACTTACAAATGCTCATTTCTATACTCTGTGTCCATTTTCAAATGCCTGTTTGTAACAAGAGGAGCTTTACAGTACCATGCCTAGAATCTTGTCCTTGGAAGTTAATTCCTCAGAGCAACCTTCTGCAATACCACATCTTCCCTTCTAAAACAAAAACCTCATAAACTAATAATAAACTCACATGACTATGGGGAACCCTTTTCTGGCAATACTGAATGGCCATCAGTCTTTACATTACAGAAATGCACATGGGAAGATCCAGGATTTGCTAAAAAGGAATGTGACACGTTACCCACCAGACCATGGGAGAATGGGGGTGAGATGTGACTGCAGAACCTGGGGTTGGCAGATGACACCAGAGAGCTAGGCAGGGAATAAACAAATGAGAAGGGGGACGACCTGCCCATTACGCCCCCACCAACACCACCGCCACTGTCCCCAGCTGACTGGGGGGGCAGGGCACAGAGCTTGCCCTGCCAGTGGCTACAGGGAGTGACTGCATGAAGAGCTGGCTCAGCCAGCTCTCTGCCTGCCTCCTCCTTCTCATATCCTCCACTGGCTAGAAGCAGGTGCTGGAAGCAGGAACTTGTGTGCTGCTGCCACTACTATCCCCAGGTGAGCCTAGCTTCCAAATAGCTGCTTCCTGAAGTGTAGGGCTGGAGTGGGTCAAATCGACTGTGGGGCTCCCCCAGTGCCTGCATCATCCAGAGACAGTGGAATTGGCATGCAAGTTCCTCCTTCCAATGCCTGTTTCCAGCGAAAACCTCATGGAGAGGGCCAGGCAGGGAGCAGGTCCTGGGCAGAGCAACCTGCAAACAGCTGCTACTGTCCCCTGCTGAATCTGGCACCCTGCACAGACTCAGCTAGTAGCTGGCATGATGCAGGAGCAGTTCTGCACTCTACCTCCTGTGCCCAGATCAGCCAAGACAATGGGAGCAGCAGCAGCAGAAGGGGGGTGCATCTGGACCCTGGATCCACCCCTGGAAATGCACAATCATTTTCATGAATCAATAGCAGCTCTTGAGATGTCAAATCATATCAAATTTTCTTGTGCCCTATTTATAGAGTATATTAATACTTCTCTAAGTCCCCAGTGACTTTGACATTCTCATTTACAGTTTTCTGAGGAAGAGAACATCAGTTAGTAACAATTCACGATTCACTGGCAACTTTCTGACATTTAACAGGTATATATGTGGACTGCAGTCTTCCTCCACAAACCTGTTAGCTAGGTGCTTTATTACTTTAACATTATTTTGTACCAACCTGCTGGACTGAAGATAGGGACCTAGTGGTAACATTTCTGCATTTCATACATCAGAGTAAAATGAAATCCATGCCCAGTAAAGTGAGATGTGTTTTCAGATATTACTATAATATACAGTAGCTAGCTATCTAACAAACTTAGATTTGACATAACCAATTACCTGTCTAGCTGGACTATCTTCTAGCAAAGCTGCTTCAGAATATATTTTCCTTAAGAAAACATAAAAAGGATGTCTTATTTGACCCACAGGATAATTTTCTCCTGTGCAATTAATATGGGTCTTTTATGCTTGATTTAGATGGGAGGTTTTTGCTTATGAAACAAGTCTTAACAGATTTCTCCATACAATTTTTAATTTGAGGCCAGGTTAAACACCTTTGGTCCTTATATTTTTCAAACCATAAGTGACTATCACATAGCATTTTACACATACTTTTCTGTCACACATTTGGGATCATAATTTCAATGGCTATCACTGGCGTATGGTCACTTATGTTTCTATTCTTATTGACCAGGTATAGCAATATATAGCCGCCCAGTACAGACTCTATATTTGAAGCCTTAACACACTATCTAGTCCATGGAATAGTAGTGTGTCAGGGTTACAGCTGGTTCAGCTGTCAGAGAACTTTGTGTTGTGGCTATTCTGAGTTGCATAAATCCATAGGTGCAAAACTCCTCTTAGTTGGGTCAGCACCAGTTACGCTATTCGGGATGCCATGCCTTCAGGATCCAAAAGTGGGTATACCAAAAAATATGGACCACTGATTTAATGCAGCAGATCAAACCTACAATAACACTCATTATAAATATCATTTAGGGAAAAGCTGTCCAAATTGTGTCAAGGAACTATTTCTTCAAGGTCAGGAAAATTGCTGAGCTTTTGGAAATGCTGAGATCTTTATTGAAAAGGTTGAAAAGAAGGTTGTACATTTGGGAGACACATTAAAAATCATAGAATAAGTTAATCTGTTGATGTTCAAATGTCTGGGCATTTCAATGGGTGCCCTCAGTAAAACCTAGAGAATGCTTTCCCTCTGCGTTTCCCACAAAAAAAAATTGAACCAGTAGTATAATTAGGATGGGGTGATCAGCGCAGCTGCTTTGGGCACTGAATTTTAGGGGCAGGAATCAAGGGAAGAACAGAAAAAAAATGGATGCAACTGCAGTCACATAATGGTGCCAGTGGCATGATGGCAGCTGGAAGTTACCGCTGCCCCTGTGCGTCACAGCTGCCCTAGATGGCTGGTTACCTTGTTATGCCTCTGATTTGAAAAACACTAATTTACATTTTTCAATTGTCCCCAACCTGTGGCTAAATTCTACAGATAAACTGTTCTCATATTACTAACTGGTAGTTTTAAGTGGGTTACAAATTCAGGGTTTGGCTCAATATCAGGCTACAAGTGTTCAGCCAGTAAGCTATATGAAATAAAACTGACATGAGTATGATGCAACTATATAATCTTATTTATGTGTAATGAGAATAGTAAGATTTCATTTAAGGAAAAAGCTTACTATAAGATAGGTGTATCAGCAAAACCAGAAAACACTAACAGGTAAAATCTTTCCTATCACTATCAATAACTAATTGTTTTCAAGCTAAACACTCAATATCAATAGCAGTCTGTTCTAGAAAAGAACAAGAATCACATGTATTTAACTGAATGCTTCTATTTTTATTTTAATTAGATGAGAGGAATTTTTATTATATGAGTAATATTGAATTAATTTAAATATTAATTTAAACATGAATTTAATCATTAAGCATTAACTTAAAGTAAACATTAATTTAAAGGGTATATTGGCAATGCTTTAATTTCATCCTTTGCCACCTGACTTTTTAGCTTCTAGTGCAAACTTTTTCTCAATAGAGAAATGCTAACCCATTTTAGCCATCTAATTTAGCCCACTCTATAGCCGACTTTTCAAGTACTTTTCCTTTCAAATACAGAGTGCCAAAAACTATAATTAATAGATACATTCAGAGTTATGCTGTAATTTAACATATAAATCCATTTACTAGCTTCTAAAAATTGGTGTACCCAGACATTCAAATTTGTAAAGCTCTTTCTTTAGTAATGATTTTTTTTTTTACCACATACAGCTTGTTTGCCTTCAAAGGATGCAGTGAAAGTATGGAATACAAATTTGTTACACTTGAAAAGAGTAAATGCGTGGTTACATAACTAATAGCTAATTCACATGTTGATTGATAAGATCCTGGGATAGAAAACAAGAATGTTTTCTCTGTTGGAAGGCTCTAACAAAGTCAAGGACTATATTCAAGAAATATGTATTTACCTTGACTCTGTTTTTTACTAATTTCTTAAACAGCAAGTAGAAAATGACACTAAAGGAGTTTCGGTGTCTCTTAAATGGCCCATTTAATTGGATACTTTGTTATAGTGTCAAAATAAAGGTAGGAGCTACAACTAAGGAAAATAAAGGGCTACAATCCCCCTGCAGTGAATTAGAGCCGCGGATTCTTTGAAGAAGAGAGGAAAATTAAAAAGGTACTGGAGAAAATAACCTATAACACAAAATGTCCATTTTACCGCCTGCATTGTTATTTATAGCAAATGAAGGTTACTTTCACTTAGAGGTGACAAATTACTTCTACCAGCAGTAGGAAAATAATAGTTTATAAGTTCAGCACTGTTGAGTTATTAAGGAGGACCTATCTGTACAAAGACATGCTGTATTCTATATTAGTAAAATCACTTTTTTAAATGAAATGCCAAATCAGCAACTGCATACTGGACTGACCTTGGATCGCGGTGGTGCTCGGATGTACCATTTACAGTCTACTGCCTCCGTTTCAGAAGCTTTTCCTTCCTTTGCAATTTGCACAGATTCCACAATTCCTTCAGGTCCTCCCATCTCAAACTCACAAACTGAATAACAAAATACCAGAAAAATGAAATCTGAACAGCAAACAAAAATATTTTCTATAGCATAATACAATGCTCCTCCTAATAATTTCATGAAATCTAGCATACCAACCTGGCAATGGTTTCAAAACTCCGAGGTCCTTAAAGTCAGGATCTTAAAAATTGAGAAAGAGAAAATTAGTCCAGGTAATGTTTTGATTAGAACATTGAATTATATGTCATTAGAATATTACTAGACACTTTGGGAAAGTAAGTGTGCATGTATATAGTAGCATAACTTTTAGGGACCATGGAAACACATTTATTGATAATGCAAAATAGACTGATATTTTAATATTAAGCTCTTTTTATTTTCCAAACCTGTTTTGGTCAGGATTTTCTCTGCCTTATTCCCTATTTCCCAGCAATGAACACAGAGGAGAATGCAGCGGCTGACAAGAGATCTATACATCTAACCTTCCGATAGCACTGAGGTGTTGGCAGAATACAGGGGATTATGTTTCCAAACATTCCACCCAGAAGCTTTTTGCCTATTTTTTAAACTTTTACACGGCTTGGTTACAAGACATAGCATAACTAGAGGAATATGAACTCCACATTGATATCTGACTGATCTGCAACCCTGACTGGTAGTGTACGTGCAGAGACACTGTCTTTGAGAAGAACATTCCCTTGACTGTTAATAAATAAATACCTTACCAGCTTTCCCTAGGTGTCACTGAGTGAACATAGTTAAAGAATGTAATGCAATATGCTGCTTTAGTTCATAAACATGGGAGTATTTTGAATTTCTGGGATGCTTCATACTTTGTTTATAGCCAAGTACAAAATTTACGTGAAATGAATTTGGTCTCAGACCTATGTGCCAGTCAACAAGTGTCAGCTTACATAAATCAGCATATCATAATTTTCTGGCACATTTTAAAGACAGCGCAAGAGAAATCCAGAAATGAAATGTGAAAGAAACTAAATGGTTTTGAGAAAGGATGCTCTCCTGAGAGTAGATTAGTCATTGTTTGGAAATCATAGAATGATGACTCAAGATTAGACTGCCTGACATGCATGTTCTAGCTTTCAACATACTGTTCACCTTGAGAAGAAAGCAAATAAGGAAAAAAATATGTTGGCCTTAATATTTTTGTGGAAAAAAAATATAGGATTTGGTCTTCCAAAATTAGTGTTAAACGTTTATGAACAAATACTCTGCAATAAACTTGCCCTGGGTTTTTCAGAATTCTGAACTGGACTTCATAGGGATTCTGAAAGATATAATCTAGGGTAGAGTTTTGTTCAGTGCATCTATGAACCAAACAGTTTTCATTTTACTTTACTGCCTCAGAATCAGGCTTTTGTATGAAAAGCTGGAAAGTACAAAGGAAAGTTTAGAAATTAAAAATATATGGAAATGAAAAAAAAATATGGAATTTCAATTTGAAGCAGGCCTAATCAGTTTAATAAAGATAACTAGTTCAGTTCCTCGTGGGAAGGATCAAACATTTTATCAGCTTAGTTAGAATTTGCTGCCCTAAACAACTAAAGATGTAATACCACCTTGGGAAACTGTCTGTACAATGTAGCATTTGTCTGCATCGTCTTTTGTTGCTGCAGACAAAGTCTTGGATAAGTACTCATGAACTAAAGAGACTGCAGAGATTGCTGAACAGACAATTAGCATTAACTGTTAAGCAGAAGACACATTAAAAAAAAACCCTCTAAATTTAATTAAATCTTCCAACTAATGGATTTAGATACTGATAGTATACCTATCGCTTACGGCAAGACATTTAATAGTGGAATCTATTTAACTGGAAACTCAAATTAACAACCAAGCCACATATGATACAGCCACTGAGTTTTCTCTAAGAGTTGGTTTTAAATCTTCTCTGGTCTGCTGAAACTATGGTGTGCCACAAAAGCAACATATAGTGTCCTTAAGGCACAGGAGAAGGCCACTGAAGAATTTTTGCTCTGTTCGGAAACTCTCTTTTTATGGAGGGAACTCCCCCTGTGTCCTGGATGTCTTTCTCCCCCGCCCTTTTCCCCAGCTCCACACACATGCAACAGTGTAAGAAACTGGGGGACACTAGGTAGGCCTAGGGTGGAACAAGAATTTGGGCCTCATAGGAAATATGTTAAAAAGCAGTGGCAGTAAAATCCTATCTTAAATTAGCAATGGGAAGAACTTTCAAAGCCAACTATGTGCCCTTAAGTATTCTGGATGCCACAGGTGCATCCACAAGAGGAGGAGGAAAAGGGTTATAATCTGGTGAGATGCTTGTTTGCTGAATGCTAGTACTTTTAAGGCTTCTCTTCCCTCCCTCAAATCTTCCAGTAGTCCCCACCACTTTAAACTAGTGTGTTTCAGGGTGGAAAAAATAGTAAATGGTGATAGTGTCACATAAGGTTAAAGTATAAAAATGAAGGAATAGAAAATACATTGATTTGCACTAGAAAACAAGGTTTCAATCTGTAAGTCCTTGACACAAGCACACTGGAAAGCATTCTTTTCTTTAAATACCAATTATGTGAGGATTTCCAATTAGAAAAAAATTACTTTAACCAGCAGCACAGGGCACAGGGGCAGCAGCAACTTCCAGATGTCACTGTGATTGTGATAGCAATTGTACAGCTACCAGCAGCTGCCACTTTTTTTTTTCACTCCTGCCTCAAGTCGGCATCCATGGTTGTTGCCCCATTCGCCCTGCACTAGATAAGTTACTGGTTTTAGCCTTCATTCTAAAACATCACACCAAACTGCAAGATATTAGCATAGATGAAAATATATCAAATTAAGATATAGCAGGATAGCTCTGTTACAGTTTTTGGTTATAAAATTCACTCCACATTCTATTTTACTGGATGATTTGTACATGAAAATCATTTGCTTGGGCAGATCATAGATGTGAAGGTTACTAGAGAGAGATCATTATGGCCATTTCAGCTGACACAGGGCATGGAATTGCATAGACTAACCTACATATTAAGTCAGTTAGAACCAGAATACAAGCTCATTTGTTCCAGCATGATGTTATTTATTTCATAGGAAAGTTGGAACCTCCTCTGGCTGACTTCTACACTTCTGAAGAAGTATAGGAGACACATGCTTCCATAGATTGTAATTAGAAGTGGGGGTGTGGATGGTCCCTCTGTTGCTTTTCAGCAGCAAAATAATGAGAAAGCAGTCCCTCTGTTGCTTTTCAGCAGCAAAATAATGAGATCTGGTATTGTTGTAAAAGTGTCTAATGAGAAACTAAGATGCCCAGTCACTGCAACAATTTGTATCATGCAATTAAATTAATATACAAATACAAATATAAATGAAACCACCGCCTAGCAGTCTTGTATGACTCGTAAGGCTGAAAGTTTAGCTACATTAGGAATGTGGGACTAGAAAAGGCCTCTGGGACACTGAATGCAATCCAAACATGTACCCAAGACTTAGGTTTGCTTTTTGAAGTAAAACAACACTAAAGTTTATTTTAGTAGACTTTCTCTATATGATTAAGACAGATGGAACTGTTATGATTAGTTCTGCTGAGTCAGAGTAGAGCAGAGACTTTATTATACTATTTAATTGGCAGCTAGTCAAATCTTTTGGTGTGGACATGTCTTGCAGCTAGAAGAAAAAACAGGAAAATCCAGAAGAATCTAAAAGTGGAAACCCTTGGAGCACACTGAGGATCTATAATAGAGCAGAAAAGCAGGAGAGAGACACTTCTATAGAAAACATTCGAAAGTCTCTGAGACACTAAAATGGGGAGATGGAATATAAAGAGAGAAGGGAAAAAAGAAAAAAAGATATTTGATGAAACAATCCAGGAATATTTAAAAGTCTATAGCAGGGGACCCTCACCCATCAGTCACAGGCAACATCTTGCTCACAAGACCATTTAACATTGCTCATTGCCACAGAAAATTAACTAATAATTGCCAAGTATTTAAAAAAAGATTTACCTCATCTATATGTGTAAGAAAATAAAAAAAAAAGTGGAAGTGCATTTGGGCTCCATAAAGAAAGAGGATAAAAACTACCTACAGAGTTTGTGAAAGCAGATAACAACATTTCCTTGAGGAAAAGCAGTGGTGATTTTAATTGCAGATATGAGGGAAGGACATGAAGATGTAGCAAAACCCTGAGTTTTTCCATTTTTTTTTCTTTTAAAATGCATTCCCGTCCCCTTCCCCAACCATTTCTGACTTGTTCTTTCTTTCTCTATTCCCTATAGATAAGTATAAGTGAGACATAGGATAAGCTTCAGTACTTTAGTTTGGTAGCAAGTTGTATTTTTGTTTTTTCTCCATCTTTATATTGTATAATTATTGTGTTTATATTGATTTTTACTGTTCTATATTACTGTTTTACTGATACTATATGATTTAGGCATAAGTTAGCATAAGTCATGTCAAGTTTCCATCTTATTCTCAAGTCTCCGTCTTGTCCCCATGACCTGTTGTGTAACCTATGACTCATACCTACCACTCCTATGTAACTAGATTCCTGAATAAATGGGGATGAATGAGGGTGCTTGAGAGACAATGGCAATAGGTCTAAAAATAGCTCCCTCTGAATGACCAAGCCATCACAACCAATACTTGGCCCAACGACTCAGCCATTGGAACCATCCTCAGCTTTCAAAAAAAAAAAAGATGAGGTGAGGCAACCCACCATTGTACCAAGGCTGCACATGCTCAGTAAGAACACCTGGAACCCTCTGGAACAGGATTGACCTTGTCTGGACAGGACCTCCCCATAGGAGATCAGAGGTAGTCTGCCCCATAAAAAGGGGTAGTGAAGACTGATTCCTTGGGACGCCCTCTTCATCTGGACCAGCACCATGGCACACCACCTATCCACCCAGAGGGCCTGCTGGCAGCCCCCCTCTGGACAACACCTGCTGGACAAAGACCTCTTTCCAGCCTGGATAGGTAGCTATCACCCCCACCCCCTCTTCAACAATGGACTTGGACTCTGCTTCTCTTCTCTACCTGGACTCCAACCCTTCCACTGAGTCTCTTTCTCCTGCTGCCATTGTGAGTGCTTGTATGCATGTGTGGGAACCAAGAACTTCATGGGGCAGTGTAGTGTGTTGTCTGTTTAATAAACTCATTTAGTTTGAAACCCCAAGTTGGGTTTTTGTCTGTTTTCTGACTGTT